CTGCTTCTTTCTACTCTCGGCCGTACCAGAGCATTTGAAGGAACAGTTCGACACTCAAATTCTGGGACTTTCGAAAATTACATGGAAAGGTATGAAATCTGGACTATGATCAGAAACGGTGCTAAGAATGATGAAGTAGCAGCTCATTTCCCTACATTCATCGGGAAGGATGCCTGCAGCTTACTAAAACTTTTGGCATTCTCAGACAAGTTTATTTCACTTCCCTACGCAACTCTCAAAGGGCTACTACTAAACCATGCAAATTGTACAAATTCCGAGTGTTATGAAGGCAAAATTTAATAAGATGATTCGACAGGACAACCAAAAAATTAGAGGATTTATCCTTGAATTGAAAAAAACAGGCTGTTGTAAATTGCACTATTTCGGAAATTCCTAGTTAGCACATTAGGTCTAATACTCCTAATTATTATAGCTTACTTTGACTCACATAACGCATCACTTTATACCTACTATCACGACTCAATACAAGATATACCAAGATTAGAAGCTGCTCTAATACCAGCAATTATAATTATCAAGCGAACGAAACGTAATCAGCTTTGAGTGAACTGAGAAATAATGTCCAGTCATATATATATGAGGAAAGATTCAATTGGGTATGGATTCGAAATCTATCAAAAGTTGTGAATTTATCATAAAAGCTAACCTTCCAGTTTGGTCGCAAGCAATCGAAGTAATGGCAGTTGGGTGTGCGAACATTTTGATAACGTATGACTTCTCTGAAGGTATCCACATAGACACAACACCATCGTTGTGTCCTGTGCAAATAACTCCGTTAGAAGGGTTTTGACACATAACACCAAGGCGCCCCATATATGTAGGTATTGAAGTGACAATCGTACCAATAGAACAGTCTAGGTAATAAAGAAATCCATTGTCGGCCTGAAATAAAAGCTCCAGTGCAAAAACCTACGGAAGATACCAGAAGGAAATGATACGGGAGAAATTCCATTCGTAATATCCCATTCAGTTTTCTCAAGCAATGTACTTCTAAGCCTTGATTGTCATATATGGAAACATATCTTTTCTCTGCAACGGCAACGAACGTTTCTTGGTGAAGAAACCTAAAAGATTATCAATTAAGTTTTTTACTTAACATCCTTGCATTCGTTGGAGACAGTGATCTCAAAAAGAGGCTTCTTCACCATCCAGTCGAATGCCGCTATGTGACCTGATTTACCACACAGGGCTAAAAATCTGTCTTTTTTACAAGCGTTTGGCAGCCAATTTACCTGCCGTTTCGTGAATAATCAATCGCATACGGTCCATACTGTAGTTTAACATCAAAACGCTAGTTTTAATATTCGCCTAGAGCTTATAGTATTTTACCTTAGTTGCTGAACCAATATCAACTTCTTTCAACATAGCATCTTGAGTGATCATCTCATTTTCATCTTCCTTCTCAAGATAGCTAAGTGCCATAAAGAAGAGAAACGCAACGTACCCAGGCAATACATTGTGTAGGGCTGCTACTTGAGTGACACTTTGTTTAGCATATTTAACCTTTCGGTTGAAGGCCTCTGCCTTCTTCCTGAAGAACCTCTCGGGAAGTTTTTTCTACGAATAACCTATGGAAAAACTAGACCTGTAACATACTGTGTCCATATGAAAAGCAGTTGATAAAAAGATGACCTAGATCTATCAAAAAGTTTGCATGCCGTCCTTGAGATTTGAAAGAACCCCGAACTGCCTTCCAGTATCCAATATCTTGGAGACGAAGTTGTGCATACCGACTGGTGTCTTTGAACTCACTTCTTGTTGTTTTTATACGCTCCCAAGTTTTTAATAACTTTTAATAGGCGGTAGTCTGGTTACTCAATTGCACTAATCCTAGTCAGTTTATTAGTTATTTGTGGGTTTACAGATCTTGTAATTTGAGTGAATGCGTTTGTCTCGGAACAGTAGGGTTTCTAGATAACAGCACCTTTCACGTTATCAGGCAGGGGGTTGTTTGGTTGTAATGTGAAAAATAATGACTCGGAAATTCGAATGCTAGGAACTAACCAGGTCTTCAAGAAACAAGCAGTAAACGTGTTAATTAATTAGTAATGAAGATAGTGTGCGAAGACTAGAGTATTACAGTGTAGGTCATCAATTTTGATGATCTATGTCGAATGATCAGAGGGCTTACTGAACTTAGACGGGAACGGTGTGACGAACCAGGTGACTTCGAAATCACACCTCTTAGTCAGCATCTAACGTGGGTTGCCCCTTCGACCTATTAAAGTACGATGGCCGCTTTAAAGATCGTATCATACAAAGAAAGTTATTACGGAAGTATATTATTAAGAATGAGCACACAGAAGGTGGTAGGACCACCACTGCATGGGCCAGTCCATGGCATATGATTAACTGATGCTCATTGGTTGCCCTTGACCTTGACAGGGATTGATGGTCTGTTCGATATTCAGTTACCTAACAGCCGGATGACTTGGCTAGGGCTTAATGACATTCCACTAGCCCTACAAAACTAAAAAGGGAAGCAGAGTTAGCATTAAGCAATGACGGAATATGTTTATAAGATGTGATAATGATAACAGTAAATAGTTTAGGTGATAGCAGAAGGCTCATTTAATCAAAGCGCGAGATGTTAAAACACGGGTGAATATGAGGTTCTAAAGTCTCCTCCTGAAGCCATCCTCTGAGTGCGTTGTGGTCACTTCGGCTAGAAGAACATTCCGAACAGAGATAACTTTCATTGGGAGCTTACCTAGCTTTTGTTGTTTGCTATGACATTCTTTGATGGCGCTGATGTTCAAGTTGATTGCTCGTGTTGGGTTGACTAGGTGTCAAACAGTCATGCACAGCAATCAACACTGTTATAAAACGACAATAAGAACATGGTAAATCCTTAGGTGTCTTAGAACAGTTTTAGGTATTTGTAAGGTACAGAGAAGGTTATCTAGACATTCTACTGCACATGCCCCAGTGGGTTAGATAATGATGTACTGTTTTGAACATCATGAAATTTAATGTCTGGACTAATTTCCAATTTATTGATTTGAATGTCTATTTGCCCATTCGCATATAGTGTAGGTGCAAATATCTAGACTTCAAAAAGATAACAGCTATGGAGAAAGCAAGTACTTGTAGTATGGCGTCGAGTCGCGGTTGACTATGATCACCACTACCGGAAGACCACGTGCCAGTTAACCGATAAGATCCCCCGTAAGCCAAATATCGGAAGGCAGTTGATGGTTGTAGTCGAGATGTATTTGCTGGCGATCTCCTGGTATCGAAAGAATACCGAAATCGTGATGGGTTACAGGTGTGGTTACTGGGCGTAACCGAATTCGTGCAAGGTCACGATCAACGGAAGAATGTATGTGTTTTTGATACAGTTAAACAAACAAGTACGGTAAAACAATCGCTGATACAATTGTTTATAACAATATTGTTTCCACAACACTAATTACGTTCTCCTGATAAAAGTAGGTCACTACATACTGTTGAACCAATGTGATAATTAGGAGTATTTGAATTACTATACGAACTAGGAATCCCTGAAATAATGCAATTCAACTCACACAACTAGAGGAGCACAAACGAACGTATTGTATTCGTAATTCGAAATCAGGCAGTCATTAAATACAAATGAATCATTAGTTTATAAGAACAGTGCAACCGCCACAGCTTAAATTGGAATCTAAGTTTTTGTAATTAATTGAACGTCTTCTCCTTAGGTTCATCGTATGTCTGTCAGACTGTGTATAAGATGTAGACTCTGTATGATCTGGAATACGCCCATTAGTATTAGAATTAACAATTGAAATCGGAACGGACTCACCGGAATCCTGAAGTTGCATATGATCAGTATGTCGATTATGTACTAGAATTTGAACCATAGATTTTCTCACACTATTCTCCTCCATGAAATAATGTTTTATCTTCACACGCCCAAGTTATAAGTAATATGACGTCATTCAAAACATATTTCTCACATTAACTAGGGGATTCATTAGAAGTGACATCGCTATAAGAATAAACAACAGTTGATTATTATGATTATCATAACTATTAACGGCTTTATTCAGTATTATATTTTGGTTCAATATCGAATTCTCAGAACAGGGTATTTCTACAAATTACAGTAACGAAGACAAAATAAAGGTTTTTAAAAAAACCGAAAAACTGTACAAATTTTCGAATTAGAGACATGCTAAGAATGCAGGTTATTGACTAGGTTAACTCTATGAACCTGTTCGTTATAGAGTGCATTTGGTAGGTAAGATATTATAGAACTTTTAAACGTTTGCTTGCGTGCATGAATTTTTATGTGATTACGCCTCGTTCTACCATAAGATATACAAGGAGAAAGATAAGAGTGAGTAGGATGGTTAGTATGTAGTGGCATTGGACCATAACCACACAATCCTCAAAGCTGAATACGGGGCTACTCGGATAATAGATATTCAATATTTAACGCGGAGAAATACCTAACGATGGAGAGGGCGCTCACAAGGAATTGAATTAATTGGAGTTGATCGGATGGCATGGCTTGGCCATGCAGGCGTGGTCCCTCTAAATGTCACCTTATATCTTCTATTCAAATTAAATATATTGTTCCTTCTCTAGCCTAACCTTGTTCTACATCATGTATTGGTAATTGATACGATACAGTGGGGTGGCGTAGACGATTATGTGACTTCCACGTAAGATCCTATAATTATGCAGTTATATCATGACAAATCTACAATTTTGGGATTAGGTCTATTGTTAGAGCAGTACTAATATCATAGTAGACCATAATCCTACAAGTATCTGATAAAATAACACCTGCCAGGAGTTCGCATGACTTTAGATGTCTATCCACAATCATATTAATTATAACCTCGAAAGATTCACCACACATCGTGCTAACTGCCTCCAGTACTCTCCGCAATACAACAAAGTCTTTTCTCAAAAGTCCGAGAAAGAATAACGGAGAACAGTAAAGAATAATAAGTAATATGCAAGAATTGACAAATTGTAAGAGTAAATGACGAGTAATCCCGAGAGCGTGCAATGTCTTAATGTAGTAAGTCAGACGGAAAACTTTCTTCGATAACAATAAAACGTTGGAAGATCAGGAGGGATCAAAGGAAAAGGTAACATCAAGATAACTGACCTTCGACACTGTATTTGTCAAAGAGTCTCCAATGGTATGAGCATTATAGGATCTCAAAATGGTGTTAGGACTCCGTTCATGTCTCATGCTAAAGTTAAGGGCTTGGCATTCAGATGGATTAAGTACGAGAGCATTACCGACAGACCAACAATCAATACGAGACAGAAACTCATTCATTTCTATGGGATGTAAAGAGGTAGAGATAGGCATAAATACAGTTAGATTATACCGTGGTGTCGAATCGAAATTGACTATGAACACCGCTACCAAGGAGCGCCTGTCAGGATATCCATAAATCCCCGGGAAGCCAAATATAGGGAGGCATTTAATGGACCAAGTCGAGATATATTTGCTGGTGGTCTCGTGGTATCAAAAAGATACCGAGATCGGGCCAGGATACAAGCTTGGTTGCAGAACGTGAACGAATCCGCGCGAGTTCACAATCACAGTGTAAGAATAATGGATACTTTTTAGCACAGTTAAACAAGAGAACATTAAAACAGTCACTGGTACAATTGGTTATAATAATAATTGTTTTCAATAAACCAATCGTGTTCTCGTGATAAAAGTTAGTCACTACAAGATCATCCGCATATTTCACAAAAGTGCGTTCTGTGGAAGATAGCAGACCATGCAGAAAAAAAGTGAAAAGGAGAGGTGAAAGAACAGCTCCTTTTGGTACCCCTTCATGAGACAGCAGAGACTCTGAACACTTTTATCCAAATAAATTGTACTGTTCCCTTTCAGAGAGGTAGGAACATAGCCAGTTGGTTATCCAGCTGTCAGTGTTGACGCTGATTAACTTGTTAATTAATAGTAAATAATTAATAAATAGTCCAGAAAAGCGCATCGAACATACTTCTTCCCCTTTTCTAATTTGAACACTATGTTGTGATGCAGAACAGCAACAGCTTCTAAGGTGCTTCTTCTGCATCTGTAAGCAAACTGATACGGATCAATATGCTCTTTTGTCGCAGGCCAAGGTGGAAGTATTATTAATTTTTTCATTGTTTTGAGGAAGGGTGAAGTTATTGCAATAGGTCTAAATTTCACATTCTTATCACCAGATACTTTCTTGGGTACAGGGATTGTCTTCATCTTTCTCCACATTTTCGGTATGAGATTAGATGAGAAGGATCTGTTAAAGATAGTCGTGAATGGATAACATAGGACTTCAGCACATTTTTTAAAAAGGAAGTTTGGGATGCCATCAGGTTCTAAACATCGGGATGAATTAAGTAACAGGGGGCATCTTCGGACATCGGTTTCGACGAAACTAGGAACACAGCTATTATTTAAGCCTGTGGATAAAGAGAGCATCACATCAGATGACTACCGTACTAAAGACTTATTTAAGTCACAAACATTCAGCTGGTTATCGCTCCGAATCTGTCTGTCACCTGTAAGTTCTTTAAAGAATTTCCACATACTTGGAGACTTTTTGCAAGACAAGATTTTTTGAGTAAACATAGAGTTGAGGCGCCTAATCTCTAGGTTT